TTATAATTCCTCTATAATTACTGCTGCTTTGTCATGGCCCGACGTAGAACAGAATGCAAAATACCTTTTGGGAACTGGGTTAAAGTTAACATGCATTTTGGGGGGGAAGATGTTCAAAGCTGTCTCATCTGCATTTAGTTTCTCGGGGCGGGGGAATGGGCACACAGTCACACAATTCAAGATGTCGTGCCTTTCAAATGTGAAACCTTCAAACTTCAGATGGTTGTTCAGGTTTAGGGTTGCCAGCTCTGGGTTGGGAAATACCTGGAGATTTGGTGAGCCTGGATAGGGCAGGGTTTGGGGACGACAGAGAGATGAAGAGAAGAGATTGGATTTATACCCCGCCCTTCACTGGGAGTCTCAGAGTGGCTTACAAACTCCTTTCCCTTCCCTTCCCCACAACAGACACCCTGTGAGGTGGGTGGGGCTGAGAGAGCTCTCCCGAGAACTTCCCTTGAGAGAACAGCTCTGAGAGAACTTGTGACTGACCCAAGGTCATAAGAACATAAGAGAAGCCAATGTTGGATCAGGTCTATGGCCCATCCAGTCCAACACTCTGTCACACAGTGGCTAAACACTCTGTCCAACACTCTGTCACACAGTGCCATCAGGAGGTCCACCAGTGGGGCCAGGACACTAGAAGCCCTCCTACTGTCGCCCCCCCCCAAAGTACCAAGAATACAGAGCATCCCTTGCCCCAGACTGAGAGTTCCTATCTATACCTTGTGGCTAATAGCCGCTGATGGACCTCTGCTCCATACAGGGGGTTTTTTTGTAGAAAAAGCCCAGCAGGAACTCATTAGCATAATAGGTCACACCCAACAGCAGAAATTCACTAGCATATTAGGCCACACCCCTGACAGCACAGCTCATTAGCATATTAGGCCGCACCCCCATGTTACCAGAAGTGTGGTCATCCAGCCACACCCACCTTTGGCTCCTTATTCTGTTTACCTTGTTTGTTGTCAAAACCCAGGGCTTTTTTTGTAGCAGGAACTCCTTTGCATGTTAGGCCACACACCTCTAATGTAGCCAATCTGAATGAGTTTCTGCTGTTAGGTGTGGCCTATTATGCTAATGTGTTCCTGCTGGGTGTGGCCAACTCAGGAGCCAGCCGGAACTCCGTTCCTGCCCAAAAATAGCCCTGGCTCCATATATTTATCCAATTCTGTCTTGAAGCCGTCCATGCTTGTCGCTGCCACCACCTCCTGTGGCAGTGAATTCCATGTGTTAATCTTGGGGAATGGGCACACCAGCAGCTGCACAGGGAGGTGTGGGGAATCAAACCCGGTTCTCCCAGATCAGAGTCCACACTCCTAACCAGTATATCAAACTGGAACTTCATTGAGCTACAATTCCATAGAGTCCACCCTCCAAAGCAGCCATTTTCTCAAGGGGAACTGATCTCTATAGTTTGGTGATCAAATGGAAAGCAGAAGATCACCAGGCCCCAGTTGGAGGTTGGGGGGCTGAAGCATGGGGAGGGCAGGGTTTGGGGAGAGGAGGAATCACAGCCGGGTAGAATGCCATAGAGTCCACCCTCCAAAGCAGCCATTTCCTCCAGGGGAACTGCTTTCTGTTGCCTGGGGATCAGGTCTAATACTGTGGGATTTCGAGGGACCATCTGGAGGCTGAGAACCCTATTGGGAGATCCTAATTTTGTGCCTATATTTTCAAGAGGTGCAGTTGGATCTTCTTGATAAAGAGATGAGAAACAGGAATCTATTACGACATAGAGATCCTCAGGCACAGGTTTTTGTTTTTTAAAAAACAACAAAAACACAGTAGTATCTGCTCAGTGTGTTTGAGAAGATGTCATGTCGCGGGATGGGGCACAGGGCCATGAAGGCTTGCCTTAGACAGGATGTCTCTTTCAGGGATCTGGGTTAAAAAAAAATGAGGAACACGCATACTGGATGGGGGATACATTTCTGAGTAGCAGTGTGTGTGAACAGGATCTTAGGATACGGGTGGACCACCGTAGGTTAAATATGAGCAGCCAGTGTGATACAGTGACAAAAAAGGCTAATGAGATCCTGGGGTGTATCAACAGAGGCATAATGTCTAAATCTCAAGATGTCCTAGTCCCACTCTACACTTCTTTGGTCAGGCCACACCTGGAGTACTGTGTGCAATTCTGGAGGCCTCACTTCCAAAAGGATGTGAACAGAATGGAGCGGGTGCAAAAAAGAGTGACGAGGATGATCCATCGGGGACCTGGAGACCAAACCCTATGAGGGGTTTGGGAAAGTTCCATGTGGAAAAGAGGAGGTTGAGGGGGGACAGGATTGCTCTCTTGAAGACTTTGAAGGGCTGTCATTTATTTTATTTTTATTTATTTATAATCAAATTTATACCCTGCCATCCCTGATAGATAAGATGCACAATAATGGGTTGAAATTAAGGGCAGGAAGGTACCGGCCGGATATTAGGACAGGTACAATACC